AGTGTAAATGTTCGATATTGCTCATGTAGTGGATATATTTAGATACTGCAGACTATAGTAAAACTGACCTAGAACTGACCTACAAACGATTGGAATGTGTTAACAGCCATGAGTGAACATTTCTAAAAAAAAAGAAAAAAAAAAGTTTGGATGAATTTTACAGTTAGATTCATTATATGTATTCCATCGTAATCAAATAATTGTAAGAATAGTTTATCATGTTTAGTAATATCAGTTTACATAACTATAATATAATATTTTCATAATTCATATCGTAATGATTTAAGCATTTTGATTGTTCAATTTAAAACTGATGTTTTATATCTAACTTGAGGAGGGATGTGATGTCCTATAGACTAATGTTATAATGTATGTGAGACCACCATAGTATATATATATGTTGTATGTAATATGATACGGGGACTTCCGGAAAAACATGGAACCTTAGTAAACACGATTAAAGCAGAAACATAGTTGTTATCAATTAATATCCACCATTAGGACTTATCAATTTGTATTTCATTTTCCGTATTTTCACTATAAAAAATATTTTTCACTGCAGTGAAACACATTTTCCGCATTTTCACTCGTGTCTTGCCGGACTAATTTCTTCTAAATTCAGCGAATAAAAAATTTAAAGGAAAGTCTTTCAAAATGTTATGTCAAAAAAGAGAAAAAAATGTATATAATAAACAGAAAATTAAAGTTTTTGTCTATTAATACATGATTTATTTTCATCTTGCGGTATAAAAAATATTATATTTCACTTGTGGCTACCGCCACTCATGACATATTTATTTTTTATATCCTCTATATATTATACATAAAAATTAATATGAACATGATGTCAGTTTTTTTTCCAATAATAAATCTTTTTTGTTACTTTACACCCAGCAAAGGGGCGTCCGTGGCCGAGTGGTTAAGGTCGTTGACTTCAAACCACTTGCCCCTCACCGCTGTGGGTACGAATCCCGACAGGGACCTAGGATTCTTTCATGTGAGGAAGCTATCCAACTAGCTTACGGAACGTCGGTGGTTCTACTCAGGTGCCTGTTCGTGCCTGAAATAATGCACGGAAGGGCACCTGAGGTATTCCTCCACCAGTAAAGCTGGAACGTCGCGATATGACCTATACTGTGTCGATGTGACGTCTACATTCTACAACGGTTTCAGTTCAAATTCATTGTGTAAGTTTTCCTGCCACAATTGATTATAGTTATATAAAAATGTCCCAACAATTAGTTGATATATCAAAATAAGATACGCTTTACTCTGAAAATATACATTGCCTTGAGCAGTTTTTGCCATATGGCAATTCTATCAACAGAATCAAAGGCTTTACGGAAATCTATAAATAACAATATAAATATTTACCCCTTGATAAATAAAAATCAACCAACATTTTCAGAGAAAATATATGATTTAATGCACCGTACTTTTTTCTTAAACCAGCTTGCTCTTCACACAAAATATCATATGACTCTAGATACTTGTTCAGACGGTTATTTAATACAGTAGTAAAGAGTTTACCAAACCAATGCCCCCGTAATTTTCAGGGTCATTTAAATCACCCTTATATATTTTTATACAATGGTAAAATCACTCTTTTACTCCATATCGCTGGGAAAATACACGCAGAGTCAAGAATAATATCAAACAATTTGCGAAACGTAGGAAATATAACAACAGAACTTTTCAAATACTCATGCAAAATGTTGTCAAAAACTGACGACGCTTTACCATTCTTTAAAGATTTTATGGCTGATGAAACTTCTGATTCGGAATATGGTGCATTCAACTCTTCATTTAATAACTGAATGTCTTCAAGATTGACCTCATCATACTGTGTGTCAACATCATTTACATTCTGATTAAGCTCACTAAAATGCCCATAAAATACCTCACTAGAAATTTTATTCAAAACAGTTTTAACGATCAACTGGAAAACCCAGGTCAAGTAAATTTTTACGATTTAATGCATCAGTTATATCATTACTAAAGTATTCTGTTACAACGTAAATGTCAAAATCAGTAAAATCAGACAAAACACCACTTCTTGCATTAAAATCACCAACAATACAACAAGAAGCGTTATCATATATAGAAGAAATTTCTACAATAGAATTAAAAATTTCAAGCGAACTATAACGTGACTGTTCAGGGCACAATTCCAAAAATACAATTATCATATTTGAATCTAAACCAAAGAAAGTTTTCACAACCAAAATCAAGAAAGCAAATAGAATCTATTAAGAAGTTTTGACAAAAACGCCAACACCCCCAGATTTGGTCTTGGCACAAGATCTGTTTATAGAAAGAGTAGCCATTAACATAAATTTCATCATATATTGATCAAGTTTTGTTTCTGCTACACACAAATGTCATACTTTTCAATAAAACTGATGAGGTCAGGTTTTCTCAATTTCGTGCTTAATCCAAAAACATTTATAAATGGCAATTCTGATTTTATTACTAGTAGTATCAAAAAGAGAACAATAAGCATGGTCATGTATAAAACTATATTTTATACATTCATTAGTTAAAGAACTACCCTCACTTGTCAAACAAAATTAGAACTGTGAGCATTACAAACTTTGGCATTATTTTGCAGTGAATAAGAAGAATAACTATCTTTAAAGCAATGAAAACAAGAAGAACAATTTTCAAATTCAAAGTTTGAACAAGAACAATCAGAGTTAGTGTCATTGCAACAATTTGCAGACCTTCCACTGCCAGGGTCTAGTCTCTTTCTCCTCGTCCCCCTATTCTAAAGACTTTAAACCCAAAGCTGCCAGGTTGGCCTCAACATTTATGTGAAAGATGTCATCTGGAGAAGAAATAACCCTCCTTTCCTTCACATTCTAGATTGGATTGTCATATGTGCAGTGAATGTTTCCTTCTCTTTTAAACACGCTGGAGACGTTTCAAGCCTTCTGAAATAAATAAACACATTCTTAAATTTGACAGTTTTCTTCATTAATCTTTTATGCTTGAAAACTTCATACACTTTAGAGCGCGACAAGAAACGCACAATGATTTGTGGTTTACCATTACTAGTTTTGATTTGGTGACAAGTACTAATATCTGCAGTACAAAATACTTTGTCTGTGCGAACACCAGCAGCAGCTTGAAACGAACTGGACTGAGACATCATTACTGGACTAGATCTACCAGGAAACAACTCTGCACAGAGAATGGCTATTCTTTCAAGATTTCAAGATTTTATTCAATACTGTCATGGTTCATAAGAACGCGTGACATAAAATATAAAATTGTGAACATGTATCAACCGGAATACAGAAAAATATACATAAAAATATACATAGAACAGGAGAATGAATGACAATTATATTGTACCCATAAGATAAAATAAAGATATGACTAGATTCTCAATAATAACTGGAATTTATGCTCCAATAACATTATTTCTATATGAGACTAATGATACACCATTATACTTATTATTTGCATGTCGTAATTATTTCTTTACAAAATAAAGCAAGGTCTTTTTTGGATGTGACTTGTTTTTACTATTCATAAGATCTTCAAACTTCCATGCATTAGGATACCTATTATAATACGGTTAAATAAATTTAAGTCTACTATTTACAAAAATGTGAACAATTAATAAGCTAAAGATAGTGAAATTCGGTACCCAGTCGGTTTGACTCACGTACATAAAGTACATATACATGTAAGTAGACTTCACTCTCTATATAGGAATCTACCTTTCTCAATTGGCATTTTATGATTCATACATCTAAATTTTAACAAGGCTGAAGACAATTGCCAAGGAAGTATGTTAAAATAATCTTCGAATACAAAACTCTGATTTATATAAACGGTAGTTAAAAATTTAATCATTTGCTTAAAGATTGGACATCACTGCTCCAACTTTTTGGATAAACTGATCTCGAAGTCTGGACTTAACTAGACTATTAAACGGGTTGGGTACAGATTGACTTAACCAATTATTTGATAACCCAAGTTTGTCCAAAGTATCCTTAACAAAAGAAAGCCATGGTAATTCAGTTCTATATCTAACATATACTGAGTACGCAGTATATATATCTTATATAAAATATTACAAATCTTATCATCTTTGTAGTTAGTTAATAATTCTACTTTTTAGTTGAAAAGATATCGGAGTTACACTAAGTTCACCATATAACATACAATTGGGAGTACTTTGCTAGAGGTTAAGTATAATTTTGTAAAATTACAGCTGAAACTGATCGAAATACTTTAAATTTTCTATTCCCAAACAAGAGCCATACCAAAGAATAGGAACAATCGTTGTGTGGATCTGTAGATCTACAGATAGTAACAATTTTCTAGCTTTATTATCAGAGAGAACATAGCTTTCTTCGCTTGATCAATAAGACGTTTTCTAGTTTTAACAAATTTACCATTTTCGATAAATTAAATAAGAAAAATCATGTACTTATTCTAGGTTCTAATTATCAAAAGAAAATAGAGGTGCGTCTTCCGTACGATTCCTGTCCCTAGAAAATATTACAACCTTTGTTTTTGCAGAGTTCACTTTTAAATTCCAAACATTACAATATTCTAGCATAGCATTTAATGCAGTCTGAAGCTCATCTGCATTTTCTGCTAAAATTATGATGGTATCATCAGCATAAAGGAGCAGAAAGAGTCTAAAACACCTCTAAATCCTTATTACTTAATAAGCTTTTCATATCATCAGCAAGTGTATATAGACCAGCATATTTATCAGACATAAACTGTGTAAGATCATTTAGAAATAATGAAAACAACACGGGTGAAAGATTTTCACCTTGTCTTACGCCAGCATTACTTGCCAAAGAAAATGAAATTTTACACATGTATGACTTTGCTTTATCATATATATTATGCAAAATTTTCAAAAAAATACCACTAATATAATTCTTTGCAGTATATATTTTCTTTGTCGAACTTTTTTACCTTTGCTGTATTTTAATTGCAAACGTACACCTTAGACGCTTATAAAATATAAACTGAAACAAGCGTCTGTTAACCATTGTACACGCAAACAAAATTGACAACCCGATTTTTAACAGGAAATAAATATATTTTTTGAAGTTATGGCAGATAAAGAAGGTGTTGATCAATTATTTGAAATAAAAACTAATTTCTACATCGGAAATTATCAACAATGTATCAATGAAGCTCAAAGAATAAAGGTATTATTTTTTTATGATGTAGCCTTGTTCGGTTATGACCAAAATTCGGACAGCGACAAGAAAAACACACATTTGTAGATATCATTGGTTTTGAATATTTTCATATCACATTGATGCTGTTGCTACATTTAGGATAACTTGTTTTATCTGTTACTTTTGGTCTAAGTTGGTCTCTAGCACTACAGATCTGTAGTCCAATATTTTAGAGGTTACAGACTTGTTATATCCGGTGTTTGGACTTTACAAAGACCAAAGGTGAAACGTCCAGGAGGTGTAAAGTCCTGAAATCGGATATAAGATTTCAGGACTTTACACCGTGACCCAAATTCGGCGTTCTCCTAAATTCGGCGATGTTTTGTTTTTCATCATTCACACGAGATTTCAGAGGTGAAGGTCAATCATGTTTATGTCCCACGGTCTATTTTTACAACTCCAGTGATTTTCTGCGCTAAATATGGAGATACGGCTGGTAAACATTAAAAATTGTACATGACATGGAGAAAATTGTGTGTTTTACCTGATGCAATTTCAAGTTTATCTATACTTCCCTCTATTTGATTGATATTGTTGCTTAAAATAATTTGACAGTCGCCATTTTTTTTCTAATATTACACTAACTATTTTTACTGCCGATCTAGGTCAACATACTACGTCACAATCCCGCCAAAATAAAAAAATTACTGCAACCAATCAGAATCGCCGAATTTAGGTGACGTATTCAGATCGTAGTAAGATTTTACATCAGCCATATTTGTTTATATCTTGCAACCGCTGAACGATTACATTGTTAGAAATGAACTTAAAGTAACTTTTAAATATTTGTAGTAAAATTATATCAAGTATAATTATAGATTACTGTAGTTTATTGAAAATGCCGTTGACATTTGTTCTTATATCGCCAAATTTGGGTTACACCGGGATAGTTTTATGTCGGTCAAGCCTGACGTCTAATAGTTATTGCTCATAAACGCATAGCATCATGAAAAAATCAAATATTGTCTATTGTCCTGCCTTTCAAGCTTTATTCAAAAGCTTTTCTTCTTTTCTTTCACATTTATGCTCAATCATCAACCAAAACTCTCAAAAAAGGTAGTTATCAATTTAAAATAAAATATAAACATCAATCTCTTTTAGTCTATCAGCCATACTGGTTAAGTAAGGTGTTTTACAGATTGGTTCCAAATTTTTTAACTGAAAAATATATTCGATCATGCTGACGGTGCATGGGCAATTATTTCGTTAAAAAAAATAATCCGTTAAAATGTTCTGAATCAGTTAAACGCTGCATTTGAATTAGCCAATCAGATTTCGCGCACTGAATGGTGGCCATTTGTTTATCGGCTGTATAAGGAATTTAATGATATGAGAGGATTTAATCATGATTTTTCGGATGTGACAGTTTAATTATTTTGTCAAAAGGTATTTTTTTTTTAGTTTTGTTCATAAATCGGTCAAAATTAATGTAAATACATGCTGTCTTATTGTTTTTTCGTTCCTCCCGATTTTCTGGCGGAACGTGCTATGGGTTTTTGAGCAATTTCGATGATGTTGCTTTGCCCAGAAGCAAAAATATCTCAAAGCGACGTCATATTTATAGGACTATACAGATCTGTAGAGCTGTCATAATTGATTCAGTGCAAAGCATATCTATCAGATAACAAATATGGAACAAACATGGAAACTTGCCTCTGTATATGTTTTGGGTGAATTTTTGTAATTTCTAGATATTCGATGAATAAGTGAAAATTATCAATTTTTTAAAATGTAAGTCGATTATTGGTCGACAAAAAAATATCAACCATACATCAATATTGTTACTATCAATGACAGCTTATAGGTCTGTACAAGCAAGGACATTCAGATGATACATAGATTTGCCGGTGCATAGAAAAATCAGAAAGCACCAGATAGCACCGAATAACTGGAAAGCACTCAAATTTCGCTTTAAAACACATAAAAACTCAATTTTATGAATGTTTAAGTGATACCAATTGATTTATTATGCCAAAATCATCATATATAAATGTGAGTTTTTTTGTAGTTTATCATTTATTATATGACTGTTCAGGAATATAGAATAGATATTTCAAGTGCTTTAAGGTCACTTTCAAAATCAAACATGTGTACATTACTGAAATTAATAGCAAACTCTAGAATGAAAAATTAAGCTTAAATGATTATTTTAATTGGTGTTTTTTGTTATGTATCCATTTATTAGTTCAAAATCAGTAGCATTATATGGTTCATTGACAAAATTTGTCATTGCTTTAAAGATGTTTGCATAATATTGATTAATGACTGCTTTCCTGTCCTGTGAGAAAAATTATACATCACCGAAAAGCACAACGTTTCCTTCTTAAAGCATATTTAAACACATTGTTGTATCCATTCCTTATTCAAATGTGTTGTAAGTGTATCTATTTGATATTGTATATTTCTGTTTGTGAATTTATCTTATTGATTATATCTTTAAGTTCAGAAAATAATATAACTGGACAAGCAACTAATAACTGCATGTAAATAAAATGTCTTAAATTGATGTCCAATTGACAGCAGATCAATCATTAAACAGAGTGTTTAAATCATTATAATTTATGTAATTGTAAAGAAATATGTGGATGAATTTTCATATCATCCTGTTAAGACTATTTAAATACAAAGGACTATTGAAATCTTATGCCAGTTGGCAATGATGATGAAATTTTTCATGTGTCATTTAATGTCATGTTTTCTAGCTCTACTTTACAGTAAGTCTACTGGACATATGAGACATTAGCAAAGTTTGTTTTGTTTGTATAAGATATTAAAAAAAATAATCACTAACTATGATGTATATTAAATGACAAATCTAGGGTTCATGAATGCATACCTGTAGTCAGCACCCAGTCCTACATTGACCAATAGCCAGATTATGATTGTTTTAAATTTTCAGCCCTCCAATCCTGATGTCCGTACAGAGAAGGATGTGTTATTATACAGAGCTTATATAGCACAGAAGAAATATGGTGTCGTTCTGGACGAAATCAGGTCATCCCAGTCAGATGAACTACAGGCAGTCCGCACACTGGCAGAATATATGGCTAACGAAAATCAAAGGTAAATTTTACTTGCCAAGCTATTCATGGAGAAATTAATAATTCAGATTGTCTATGATACAAGTTACAACTGATAAAATTATATCATCTTTGTATCATTGTTTGAAGTTTGACCAAGTTGAAATTTAGTCTTAAAAGCATTTAATCCAGTACGGAAGCAATTTGAAGTCTTAAACAGTAAATAATTCAAAGTTTTAAGTGGAACAGGGATGTGGTATGACCTTAAGCGTTCATGTGCTGTTTTACTCAAGCAAGCAAGTAGTCCAGCATCTTAAATTTACAAGGAACTAGATGAAAGAAAAAACTTACCTTTTGTAAACAGTGATATTAAATATAAGAATTTAAACTGTAAGTATTGAACTACATGTGTACCTTCTTTTTCTGACATTGTTACATGAAGGTTTTCTATTTTTAGAGACAAGATTGTGCGAGATTTGGATAGTAAAATGAGTTCAAGTGTGTCTATGTCTAACAATATATTCATGCTAATGGCAGCATCCATCTATTTCCAAGATCAGGTGAGAAAATCTTTGTCAGATCTTAAATTTTATGTATTAAAGCAGAGTCAGATCATTTTGTAAGATATTCTTAAAGGTGGGCATGAAATAGTGCAGTATTTAATAACCCTCTTGTTACAATTTTAACAAAATCATTTAACCTAGAGTATATTTATGAAATGCCTGAAAAAAATTCAACATAGTATGTTATGCACCTGGTTGTCAAGTATTTAATAAAAAATAAATCATTTTTTTAGATTTTAACTAAATCTGCAGATAAAGCCAAGTTATTTTATACAGTGAAGTATTTTGTTGTAAAACATGGATTAATTAATATGTAGATATTGTCTTTTCAAAACAATTTCAGACTCTTTGAACTGCAGAGTAATAGTAATTTATAAATTCAGTTTTTCTTTAAGTGCTATATTGATAATGTTTGTACACAGTACAGGACACATACTTTATTTTTGACTTGGGCTCAACACACCCACCATCATAACATACATTTATTACAATGCATGCATCAAGAAATCATGTTATTATAAATTCAATCAGTTATATTCACATGTAAAGAAATACATACAAAACATGATATAGTTATTTAAATTAATTGAGAGTGTAAAAAATAAGTTATATGATCTATGTAATTTATAATTTTGTAGAACTGTGATGCTGCATTAAGGATTCTCCATTCATCCGAGTCCATTGAATGGTAAGTATGATTTATCTATTACCATGACAACCATGTCCCAACAGTTATGGTTGCTGACTTAAAATGACTTGCACATCACCACTGTAGTTTTAAGTTCCACCATAGACTTTTGATTATTTCATGTGAGGGAGCAATCCAGGTAGCTTTTGGAAAGTTTATGGTTCTACTCAGGTGCCAGCTAGTGCCAGAAAATAACACACCAGTAAAGCTGAATATAGTCATTTGACCTTACTTAAAAAAAACACCACATACTCTTATTTTATCCTTTTCCCACCTGTTTATTTTTACTTTAAAAAACACCGAAAAACCCTTCTTTTATCCTTTTCCCATCTGTTTATTCTTGACACAGTTAAATGTGTTAACATGTGTGTGTTTTCTTATTTTCAGCATGGCATTGACAGTACAGATCTTATTGAAACTTGACCGAGTTGATTTGGCAAAGTAAGTTTTAGATACAAAAAATGCTTTAATTTTTTTTGTGCAATGAAGAAACTTAATTATGTGATTGCCTAAAAGATATTAACAATTAATAAATGCCGAAATATACTTTATTGACTTTTAGAAACAGTTTGAGTGTTAATTTGAAAAAAAATGTATTTTCATTTTACAATTTATACACAGAGTCTTAGTCTATGAATCTAGCTTGCAGTATATGAATAGATTCTTAAATTTGAGGAAAAAAGGTACATACATGTAGTATGTACAGTATAATGATATCAATAAAATGGTTAAATTCTATCATGCATTAAACTTTAAAGTTATCACTTAACTTTTTATGCCTATAGTAAGTGGAGGCATATAGATATACCCTTGTCCTACTGTCGTGCTGTTGGTCTGGAGACTGACAAAACTTGACTGGGGCAACATCCTTTTTTTTGGTTCTTTTCTAACTGGATAATGTTGAACAGTTCATGTTGTAAACAATAATTAACAGATTTTTTTAGATTTATTCTGTGAAAATTTCGTTTTAATTTCTATTGTAATATCAAGGTAGGGTTTAAATTTTTATCAGAATATTACTAGAGGTTATATAGTCTGGCCTTAGGTAGTTTTTCTTAACTGAGAGCAAAATCTCTAGTTAAACTTAATGTGAAGTTTTCAATATTTGTTTATCAAGTTCTAGAATTTTAATCTGATCAGTATTATTTTTCCACCAGGAAAGAATTAAAACGTATGCAGGACACAGATGAAGACAGTATTCTCACCCAGCTTGCCACAGCATGGTTCAATCTAGCTGTCGTAAGTTTTCTTATTATCTAATTCAGTTTTTCACTCAAAGCTTAAATGCTGAAAGAATGAAAGGGCTATTTTACCCTACCAGGCAATGGGCTTACTGTCATCTTAGACTTTGCTATGGTTTTATTGCCTCTTTTAATATATATCATTATTCATAATAATCCACTGAAGATATTCTCTTGAAATATCTGTGCATCCAATTTACTAAGAGATTAAAGAAAAAGATTAGTTAAATTAAAGCACTGTAAATAATTCAAAATAAGTCAAGATTTTATGTTGGCAGAATAATTCAAAATTTTGGTCAATGCTACACTTTGTAAGAAAATTTAAATTTTATAGAATTAACACTTTCATTTTTAATGTGTAAAAAATCTTTCTTTTTAGGTTAAAGTTATGGAATATTTATTTTTTTTCTTTACATCATTGTCTTTCAAATTTGAAAATATTGTTGTGCTCACATTAAGAAAAGTGGAAAAATTAACAAACTAATTTGAATCTGTACACAATTTGTTTAGAATTTGTTTAATAAATTTGAGGATATTCAACAGTTTTATATATTTGGAATAGGCCTATAATTAGCCACTCTCTTTAGCAAAAAGTATCCCTGAAAAGCTAGTGTAAAGAAGAATGAAAAGTAAATTGATTACAGGGAGGGGAGAAGTTCCAGGATGCCTACTATATATACCAAGAGATGGCAGACAAGTTCTCTAGCACACCACTATTGTTGAATGGTCAGGCTGCCAGTTACATGGGTCAAGGACGATTTGATGATGCCGAATCATGCTTACAGGAAGCCCTTGATAAGGTTAGACTTGTCATGTTCAACTAACTTAATATGCTTTCCATCTCTGTTAGATGATCATTTTCATTGGGTTTACATTTAACATACTTGTTGATAAACTTGCCACCTCTATTAACTGCCCACTTGTATAACAGGGTCATGTTCGTCTTCAGGGTTCGTACAGTCTTAAATAGTGCTTAAATTTGAGTCCCTTTCTTAAAAAATGCTTAAAAATGTAAAAAGTCCTTGAATTTGATTACTCTCTTGAAAAGTGCTTAAAAAGTGCTTAAATTTGCTAAAAATGTGCTTGAAAATGATTGAATGACAAAGTGTTGATAAAAATCAACAGTTAACATAATCAAAAGAATGATCCAATTTAGTATTAAAATCAATGAAATATTTTCTCAATGTAACAGTAAGCGGACAAATTGCAGTTGTTTTAAACTAATTTGTATTTGATGCACCCTTTGTTGTTCTTCTATTATAATAACCTTATTTTGGCATTTGATGTCTGTACGAACCATGGTCTTACATGATATATTTTCTACCACTGTTAACGGACCTTTATATATAGGATTCCCTTTCAACTTACTTGATAGACTAACCAATTTTTTCAACTGACCATTTGTTTATCAGATTCCCACTGCATTAGGTGGTTTGCGACCCCTGTTATCTGACGGATTGTTCCTAATTCAACTAACATGATTCATTTACTTTCTCTGTTAACTTCCTACTTGTATAATGGGGTCATGTTCAACTAACTTAATAGAATGACCACATCTGTTAACTGACCTTTGTTAAAGGACCACTTGTATAATAAACTTGCTTTTAATAAGCTTGATTGACCATCTCTGTTAACTGACCGCTTGTATGTTAGATTTTTTTGTTCTAATTTCTTGCTCTTAGATGTGAATTTTAAGAACAGGCAAATGTATGATTTGAAAAGTTTTATAGAGGAGTCATCTTCCTCAGGAAATAATCAGCTACCTAGTGCCTTTTTTCCATCTTATTTCATTAAAAGTTCCTCCAAGCTCTTTCATTTATTAAAGTAGAATATTTTCTTGAATCATTAGTACTCATCTATTTTGTTTTGTTTATACAGGACAGCAATAATCCAGAAACTTTGATCAACCTCATTGTATTGTCACAACATCTTGGTAAAGCACCTGAAGTAAGTCTTGCTCTTAATTTTGTCTAAGCAGAGTTGATATTCTAATAATTGCTCTATATTGTGTTTGACTGCCCTGCAGAGATTTAAAGGGGGCAACATCCGCCATTTAGTTTCTACAAAAAGCTTGCCCTTCTACAAATTTGGCAAGACGTTTAAGGTTGTTGTGTTTTAGGATTGTGGTGTCAAAATGCCAAAATTTATGCCAGGTTATTCTGGTTGGGCTTCAGGTATGTAAAGGCTTGTTTGGCACTTAACTGGTTACACAAACAACATATTTATTCCGTCAAGTTGCAGGAATGTGCAGACTGGTCTGCCTCTTAACTTGTTACACACTATTACACAGGCTGTTTAAAACAATATTAGTCATAGTTAACGTAGTTCTTGTTTAGTCCATTTAATTTGCTTAGGGCATATTGATAAAACTGAAAGTTCATAAATTTTTTGCTAACACAATATTCATCTTTTAGGTGAGTAACAGATATGTCTCTCAACTGAAGGATTCTCATAGAAGTCATCCATTTGTTAAAGATTATATGCAAAAGGTAAGTGTTTCTACAGTCAAATGGGTATTTAACACATAACTGACATAGTTGTTTAAATTACCAGTTTAATAATACAATGTTTTTCATATAAGCCTCAATAGTATGCATTTACTATTCAACAAAACGATTAGCTTTTTAGGGTTAAGTTAGGTCAACAATGTCTGTTTGAAAAAGTGGACAGACCCTTACAAAAGGTAATCTGTCATTGACCAGGGTCAAAGCAAAATATTTTTGGTGTTAGATTTAAACACTGTCTTTTAAGTGACCTATCAATAATTTAAATGATATGTTTACATTTATTTCATAGCAAGTAGTACATCTTATTTAATGAGGTTTTTGTTTTCTCTGTCATCACTACATGTACATAGAAACAAGAAAGTCAAGTTTTGGCCAAAATCATATTAACTGGTTTGGCACTATTTGACCTAAACTGTGTTGTGGGGTCATAAAACAAAACAAAACAAAACATAGAGAATACTTAAATCAAATGTGTTACAATGCATTATATATATAAAATATGTTTTTATCTTATCATATCAAAATGCTCTGCAAATAATTCAAAACTTTCTTTTCAATTACTTGCATCTTGTACTTTTATGTGAACAGGATACAAGATCTATGGTAGTGTAATATATTCGATTGAAAAAAAACTTGTAGTGCTTATCACTGCTTGTTCTAAAAATTCATTAATGTTATTGCTTTTATGTATAAATATGTATGTTTAGAAAATGAATTCCTCTTAGTAATTGTGCCAATGATTTTTTTAATTACAGGAAAATGATTTTGACAGAGTTTGTAAAAATTACAGTGCATCAGTATCTGCATAAAGGTTTTTAATTAGTAAGTATTGCATGAAAGAAGAAATCTAAAATATATTCTTCATATATACATGTAATTGGTAACATTGAAATAATTAAGAATATGTGTGTCTGTAAGTTAAATTGTCGAATTATTATAATTAGTCTGTCAACTTAGCTGAATAGGGAGAACATTGGATTAGTTATCCAAAAGTTGCAGGTTCAATCTTAAGGTGAGGTAAAATTTCTCTGAGACAATTGATCCTGGACATTGAGTGTAATAGTCATTTGTCTCTCACTGGTGCTTTAGAAAGTTTTGTGGGATAAGCCGTTGGTCACTTGTGAAGAAATTGGTGTGTTCTTGTTAGTTATCAAGGAGAGATGGTTTAGGTGGATTGACTGCAGAGATATGGCTAAAAGTGTGTTAAAATTGATGTTAAAATCAGAATAACAAAACAAACTATTATAATTAATACAAGAAAAAGTAGTGAACATGTCGGTGTTTATGTGATAACAGGTCAAGAGGACATCCAGCATTTTTGTATTTCTTTCATAGATCATATCATATACAATTACTTGGCTGCATTTGAAACTTAATTAGTAAAAGGTTAACCAAAAATTAAACACAAGAACTTTATTTCGTCAATGAATTATTAACCAAAACTTTCTTTTGTTTCAGATTTATTTGGATTGTATATAAAGAAGAGCAATCTTATGGTGTACAAAAAAATCTTATTAGGAGATAATGGACCAATGGTGTTAAATTTCAAGGAATTGCATTTTGTATTTCATCATCTAGTAATATAGATGATCAGTCGTTGACCAGCTTTATTGAACTGAGAACATGTCGCCAAACTTTGATGTATGAATTGGCCATTACACCAAACTTTTATCGTGCTTCATTCCTTTCGATATCATACATATACATGTAGGCCCAAATGTGGTAGTAATGTACATTGCTTTAATTGGAGTTTAATAAAGGGGGCAGAATGAAAAAAATAAATCTAAAATATTGGTAAATTAACATTAAAAATTCTTCTAAGCTTTTTGTATCAAATTTTAGTTTCAAATTAAAAGAACATCATGGTATGATAGTGATCAAATGTAATCATACTTGTAGGATTCAATGCAAATGTCCGTGTTCTTTTCTCAACACCAAAAATAATCCAACAGCACAATTTTCAAGGCAAACTATATGACCCATATCAAATGTGGATATTCATTTCATGTTTTGGAAATATGTCAGTGAGGCAATATATTGAATGAAAACGATAGGATTATTTTATATATATTTTGTGTTTAAAAGGGCTTATGATAACAAATAAAATATTGTAATATATGTAATATGATGTTGTTATTTATTAAAGAAAAATTGTTAATAAGTTTGTTTTGGCAATGTGGTAGAAAAGGCTAAGAGAAACCTAGCTTGGAAATAATTATAGGTTATTATAATTTGAAATTTTTTTACAGGGAGCAAATTAATGAGAATATTTTATGCCGTGACCAAGGTCTATGGGTCAATGTTTAAACATGGTATATTTTCATGTCTTTTCCATACTTTGTATTTAGAATTATCCAATGCACTTGTTGAGAAGTGATAAAAGGGAAAGATAATGAAAAAGTGAAATATACTTAATTTGCATTATAAAAATAATTTATTGCACAATTTGTATTATACATGTAGTTTACACAATAAAATCACATGTAAATGGCTCGCAAAACAAGGGCGATCAGTGATCACATGTGTCGCATCATGAAAATTATGACGTTACATGGCTGCATATAAATGGCTTTTTTACTATATAACTATACTTAAGCTTATAACCTGTCCAAATTTTAATAACTAATAATGTATGTCTTAACAGCAATATCACTAAACTTTTGGAAAGAATACTGTGAAATAATACATCATATTTCAATAAATGCAAATCTAAAAACATCAAGTTTTCAGGAGAACAAACATTAAAATCTCTAAGACACATGTAAAATAATTTATGCTCTACAAATAATTTAATTGGATGTATTCAAATACAAGAAGTTTGTAGCCTACTACAACAAAACAATGTCTTTTCTACTTATGCAAAGTTAAATAGAATGTCCGGAATGCATTGCTTAACATTGTTCCACATATATTTCAAACAAGACATTGAACTGTAAGAAGAATTTGGCTGGACTACCTCTAATCTTGGTGTAAACCATCAGATTAAACCATCAATCTGTTTCTGAATGGTTTCCAACTGAAATAAAGAAGAGGTACAAATGTTAACGGTAATTTTTTTGTAAGGGTCTTAAGTGTTACAGCACAGTAAAGGGATATATTGCAAGTTTTCAACTTCATGGATGAAAAGGAAGGCTTCAGAAGCCCCATCCATGCATTACTTTGGACACAAGCTTGCACATCAGTAGAACCACAGACCTACTAGATGCCGAGCTGTCTAGCATGAAAGAATCAAAGTACCTAGTTGGATTTAAACCCACAGTGGTGAGGGGCAAAAGGTTAGTTTAAACATATTTTATTTCTCAGAATATATATACATGTTATAATTCACATTCTAACACTCACGTGATTTTGTCACTATAGACAAAGAAGGAAAAAAACTGGTGTTAAACTGCCAATAAACACCGGTTAGGGACTACTTGTATATGCGCTGTTTTGTTTTCACCCTCGATTGTATAGTTTACAAAGCATTTTAAAGCAACAATAAATAGCATTTTTATTTATATTTTCAGTTCGTATAATGTTTTCTTTTCATACAATAACGAAATAATATCTCACATACACTAACGCCACATATTAGATCCATATCAGTTAATAAATATTTTGACAAAACGGCGCCAATCCGTAAGCAGCGTAATGACGTCATCCTAAGTAAACAACTCATTCATAAACAAGCTGACGTTATTATTTCATGATACAAGAATGATAAATGGGGCGCCGGCGCTGATGTAAACACAATACGACGTAAGTTTTAATTGTTGAAAACTTGATAAAATAACGTTTTTTTTTCTTAAAATTATTTCTTTTGTTTAATAATTTCTATATCTTCGCCACAGTAGGGTGCGAAAATCGAACAGCGTTATACGAAAATCGGCAGTTATTTCCGCTTGAAAAATAACATTAGTGATTTTCCTTATCTTAACGTGTTAGAATCGAAATAACATCGGCCTGAGAGGTGTATATTGGCTATTTAACACTGGTTTTGTCGTTTTGATGCGAGAAAATTTACCACTCAGGCCTACGGCCTTCGTGGTCAATTCCTACGCATCAAAACTCCAAACCGGTGTTAAATAGCCGATATACACCTCTCAGGCCGATGTTATTTCTTAAATATACAGATGCAATTCAAATATTCTTAAAAAAACAGGATTAGAATGAAAGACAACATGTCTTATGAAATTCTTCTCCTAAAAGGTTAGAAGTGACATGACCATAACTACTGGCATTCAATGAAGCCCTTTAACAATATCAAGATATTAATTTCATTTTATTAACTTTTCAAGGGCTGGTTTGTTACTACAAGTTTCAAAGGAACTGACTGCCAGTTACCAACGAGAAGGTTTCTTGTTTTGGCACCAGAAAATAAATTCTTTTCAATGCACTGACCAGACCTGTAACAATTTTATTTTAAATCTTACACTGTGATGTAAATACAGATTTACTCATTCTTTTAAATAATACCTGGTTGTAAAATTGATATAATTCATCATGAGTGAACTCCATTCGTATCTTTTCTTTATCTTCCTGCCCTTCACGATGGACACCAAGTTCAAACATAGCATTTGGTAATTTCTGCTTAGTTTCTGTTGATTGGGCCATTTGTAAATTTAATCTCCAATTTATATCTGTTAACTGTAATTGAAAGCAAAATTTAAAAATTGTTAGATGCAATCAATTTAAAACCTTTAATTGAACAAAAATGAAGTCCCTTTATGAATGTCCTTTAATAAATAGATAACTTTTATCCCAAAGCAAAAGTTATTTTTCCTTTAAAATTTAATACTTGGTTGAAAATTTCTTAAGATTCTAGAATTATATTAAGAAATTGATGATACTAAAGACATGCAAAAATCTTATTATACATCATACATGTATTCAGAATAAAAGTTTCATATTCTTAAAAGCCTTTGATATTTAATGATATCTTTATAATATCAAACTGTTAATTTACATTAGTCTTACTATATGATTTAATGACAATAGTGATATCAAAACTATTAGAAAAACTTGCTTGATTCGGCATTAGAGTCCTTTGTCTTAGATTCTGTATAACTTCCCGTCCGTTTGTGGTCCATGATTCAACAATGGCATCAACCTATTTTGTATAAAAAGAATGTTTGTATATTACTGCTAATGTTCTTGATTTCTAGTATAGTTAGGTTATAACAATTAGTATACTTACAACTGTTGGAGTTACTTCCCTTGGGCGATTTGGTCATTTTTTTTGTTTGTTTACAATTAGTTATCCGGATAGTGATTTTTTTCCATCAAAGGATGAACAGTTTGGTAATCTATAATACATTTGAGATGTAGTCACCTGACATTTCTCTACATTTGAGAATAATTTAATCTATCGAAGCTATCGTGTCCTTGTACAGATGTTGTAAGCCATATTTATAGTCTGCCATGTGAGTCACAAGCATTGCAGCCTGAAACCAATGAAGTGGTTAATGACAATTAATAGACTAATATGTTATTTGATAGTAAGTAAACAAATGTCAAACCTTGTCTTGATCCATTCCTAGTTGAGACAATTGTTGAGAGAGTGCTGCTGGCTTGGCTGTGTGGTAAGCTGACTGAAATAACATACCAAAAAAGTTACTTTTTCATTACATTGATGTATATAATAACAATTTGTGTGAAGGTTTAAAGGCACTCTGCTGAGCTCCAAAGCCTAAAAACATAAAATTTGTATTTCTTATATTAATCAACTATGTACATGTAATTACAAATTAATGTAATTGATGATTTTATGTTTTATGCAATTAAACATTTAAATAAATTATGAACTATAGTAAATTTATATCCATTTATAATGTAGTTTATATTTATGTAATTATTTATGAATTTATGTTAATAATGTATCAGAAAACAGCTGTTAATTAACCCATTGTCCTACAATCTTACTAGATAACTTCCTCACATGATGAGACAATAACACCATTTTTGGGGAAGGGGCCTCAGCCTTTTTCTTGGGGAAAATATGCGTGATTTTGGCATACTTTGGAAAAAGGGGTCTTATATTTAACACAAACTTTTAACAAGTTCTTCAAAATAGAAAAGCAAAAAGCACTGGGGAATACAAATAAGGCAGTCAAAATCCTTAAAGATCCTGTATGTTTTGTTATTGAGATTGCATACCACTCTTCATTGAATTATATATGTATGTAATTATGCAAATTTGTCAATTTTCAAACATGGAAGAATATGTAAAATATGTATTGCAAATATTTGTACATATTTAAGGTAATCATTAAATTATATGCATTCATTTCTTATTGGAAAAAATGACTTAGAATTTATAGAAAACTAAATTCTAATTACCTCCCTTTATTTACATGAAATATTAAATTCGGTAATATCTTTATAAATAATGTTTTTTGAAACTTACAATATCGATAAATCTTAATTTGAGCATCATAATTTGTATATAAAACCATAAAAATAATGTGTTACAGGATCTTTAATTCAACACCATCATTTAATTTTGTTCTAAATTCTATGGGAAATTTCAAAAGACTGGGGAATTTTAAGGACCAAACTGGGGAAAAAAACAGGTTAGTTTGGTTGGGGAAGTAGCCTATATTCGGCCCCTACAAAGAAGGGTTTTTTGGCCCTGCCACCACACCTCTGTAGAATTTGAAGTCAGAATGTGACCTACACTTTTGAGCCTTAAGTTTAAATGAAGATGTTGTACATGACACATTGTCCTAATCTGCTACACATTTATACAAAATCATTTTAAAATCCATCTATAAATGTAAAAGCTATATTGTCCAGACAAAATTTGGACGGAAGCATGGAAATCCAGCCAAAATGGAATAAGGGGCCATTTCTTTTGTATTTTCTTTTCTTTAATAGAGGGCCAATGGCCCCTTATTCTATTGTTACGGTATAAACTCCAATCTATTGTTCTCTTTTGCTCTGTTTACAGTTAGATTGCCCCCTATCCCTATTCAGTTGTGCGAAAAGATGGATGCTACAAAAACTTTACTTATTCCCATTTTTGGAGGGGGCTGGGGGGCATGATAAACAGATTCACATGACATCTTGTAAATTCTGTATACAAGGATGAATTTCAAGTTTGGAAAACCTGTTGTAGGAAAAACTCCAATGTCTGTAGCAGTAATTCAAGATCTGGTCCTGACATACCAAGCGTGCCTTGCAACTTCTCTTCCTCATCTTCGGAAAATGTTCTCTCATCCTAAAAATATAAATTAACTTTTTTTTTACAAGAACAAAAGACTTATGTTAAAAAAACAAGAATGACTTCCATCATCAATTCATTATGATGGGATGAAAAAAGCAGAATTTTAGTATTAACAAAATTTTTCAAAAATAATTGTCACTGTCCACAAAATAATAATTAATTGCACGAGGATAAACTGTGCTTGTTGTTACATTAAACAAGTTAATTACAATCTAACAATAGTTTCAAAGTAGTTCAAAACACAATCAAATTTTTTCTAGATTTTCATCATACATGTGAACTTTTTTAAATGATCATGTGGGTGGGGGGTTCCTCCAAAAGAGAAAAGAATGAGCTTTTAGAATTTGCAATGAACAAAGAACTTAGAAGGAAGTTCTGACATCAAAAATAGGTAGATTTCTTTAATTTGTGAAAATACCCCTTATCTTAAGAAAAATCTTTGAATACATACATATGGCTGCAGAAATTGGGAATCTCCCGCTACAAGTGGGAGAGTTCAAATGTATGGTTTTTCATAAGGTACATATACAGAATTACGGACATTTCGGACCACGGACGTTTCGGACCATACATTTCGGACCAGATTTTTGGGTCATTTCGGACCAGATTTTGGGACATATCGGACCATGCGATGGTCATTTCGGACCATGATGGGGACACTTCGGACCAGAACATATATTCCTTTTTATATATAATTATTTGTTATTTCAGGATGTATTTACAATATTTGACATTTTTTATATTTTATGATATTCAAAATGCATGCAGTAAAGACCTGTCCGACGCGATTTTAACATTTTCTGATAAGCTTATATTACCATTGTTTTGACTATCCATGTAAAATATTTATATCGTAATTCTATCGTAATTCATTTATGTATTTCTATACGCTGACAATTTTTTAATATTGAAAAAAAAATTAAAACAATAATAGAATACCTTTAGATCTATATTGCTAAGCGTAGGATATACGCTGAATTTACATATTTAAAGTCAACTTCATCCAAATTAAATCGTGATCTAGCAGGTATTAAAGAACAACGACATCCTTGTCAATGCAGTTTTTCACACGTTTTAATTGCTGAATAGAACTCGTTTAAGTTACGATTCACTCAATTAAAAGAAGTATGTATGTAATTTTCACCTAATTTTACAACAAATATTTAAATTGATTGGATTAGATTGGAATGCGATTAAAGTACAGTTTTAATTAACAATAAACAACAAACAAATTGATTAATTGTAAACAAATGACTGCAATATAAAAAGATGTAAAAATTGATTATCTATAAATAATCTATTTCGTCATGTCTTTTTGTATATATTTAAAAATAAATTGTTTGCAAACGTGTGTCATTAAAACATTGCTTGTTTGTTTTTTAATTTTCTTCATTTATAGTGCAAAATATATAAAATCTAAATCGGGATAGGTGTAAAATCGTTCCATTGTGTCAATATATATAAATATATATAAAGTTTCTTTAGTTTATCGAATAATTGAAGCCTAATACAAAAAATAATATTTAATCTGGTCCGAAATGTCCAAAACAATGGTCCGAAATGTCCAACACATGGTCCGAAACGTCCAAATATCTGGTCCGAAATGTCCCAAAATCTGGTCCGAAGTGTCCCAAAATCTGGTCCGAAGTGTCTGGTCCGAAACGTCCATGGTCCGAAATGTCCTATTACCCATATACATGTACGTGTGTCCACTAATATTTATTTAATTAATTCTCAAAACAAACTTACCTTTAAATGTAATTTCTGTAAAATTCTAGAAACAACTAATGGAAATTTGCCTTGATCAACCTCATTGATCAGACCTACAGCCTTTCTGATGCTGAAATGGAAACACAATTCCATAAAAAAGGTATTTCCAAAATTAAAGTAAAAAAGCAAAGAATATTTTAAATCTAAAATAGATCATAAACTATAAACTTTCCTTCACATCATTGTATGCTTTCGGTTTTTAAGTTTATTCCTGTGTGCAATGACAAAAAATTTATATGGCACCATGTCTGTGATGGTCAGTGATTATCTAAATAATGAAGACCTAATATTTTTTATCCGAAAAATCATATCCGAGCAATACGTAAGATTTTCATCATTTATCTTTTTTTTTCAAAATAGAGCCTTGTTAAGGCCTACAATACCTTATTTCATATATAATAGTGTCATCAAAGTTAGTTTACAATATAAACAAATATTTTAATCGTGTTGGAACAAATATTAAGGTCTAACAAACCTGGGGGTGGAAGTAAACATTAACGCCATTTTGACCGGTGCACATGTCAATTTCACGAGTCGTTTTTACGAAATACCGTACGTGCTTGTTTTAGACCTGTCCTTCCTGTACACAAATGTGAGTTTTCAATGTTGTGAACAATTTGTCTTACGTGATTACTGACTGCAGATCATAAGAGATAATAATCGTAACTTATCCATTTTGCGCTTAATATTTTGTTCTTTATTTCTAATCCTAAAGAATTTTATATTTTGATTATCGCTGATTGGAATTGGTAACAATTCGCCCCACTGACGATTCGCCCTGTAGTACCGTATGGTACTGGTTACGGAAGTTAACAAAAGTTAACGGAAGGTTTTGGACCAACCGGAACTAGTGTGTTAGGCTGACAGTTGGGCGCCATATTTGTGTATAATATATAGCCCCATAACGTCTCGCACCACTTTTGTGCAGATTCGCTCTAGATTATTGACGATTCGCCCAATTTTAAACAATCATTTTAAGTGTCATTAAGGTAAAAAAAAATAAAAAATGATAAGATTTAATGTTTGTTAATAGAATATGAATAATTAATACAAATGTATTTGACAAATGAAAAATAATTTATTAAAACATTAATTGTTGTTTTTATAATTCTTCATTTTTAACTGATAATTATAAATAAACAAATACAAGAATATTACATTATACAAGAACAGTACTGCACAGATTGTGCTTAATTATCAATTGATCAGAGCCTCATTTAATGTGAATTTTCCTTAAACTCGATCATCACCATATTTACCACATTAAGACGATTTGTCGCATCCAAGAACCATGTCCCTATGGTACCTCAAAGGTCAAGGTCACACTAAGATTTTGTAGTTTGACATTATCACAATAAAATTAGAGTTAATAGATACACACAATCGTGTTCAGACTTAAACTTTGTCGGGCCACGAACTCGAAGTATTTTAGAATAACTTATAAATGTCTATCACCTCAAGACAATGTGTCGCGTCCAAGAATCACATCCCTTCATCAAAGGTCAAGGTCACACTACCATTTTAAAGTTCACTTTATCACAATAAGAGTTTATAGGTACACCCATTCGTGTCTGGACTGTATTTTTGTCATGGATAGAAGGATTTAAAAAAAACTAGGCATAAACAAGATGACATTTTGCGTCCAAGACCCATGTCCAACCCTTCAAGGTCAAGGTCACACTTATAGTTTGAAAGTACTCATTCTCTCAAGAAGAGTTTGAAGATACACATTCATGTCCAGACTTTTACTTTGTCATGCCTGGAAGGATTTTAAAATAACTTGGCATAAATGTCTACCACATCAAGACTTTGTGTCATGGCTAAGGTTCATCTCCGTCAGTCATACTGTGCGTGCGTCCCCACTTACACAACAATCATGTCCAGACTGTAACTTTGTCATGCATTGAGGGATTTTGAAATAACTTGGCAAAAATGTCTGTCATGTCAAAACAATCACGTCCGTTCTTTAAAGGCAAAGGTCACACTTATATTTTGAAGGTTCTCGCTATCACAATTAGAGATGATAGGTACATAAATTTGTCTCGGGACTATTACTTTGTCATACATTGAAGAGTTTTAAAATAACTTGGCACTAATGTCTAACACATCAAGTTGCCATGTTTTGTGTAGGACCCATGCTCCTACCTCCAAGGTCAAATTTCACACTAATAGTTTGAAGGTACTAATGCTCACAAGAAGAGTTTGAAGTAACACATTAGTTTCCAAACTGCAACAGTGTTCATTTCAGAAGAACACTATTAAGCAATTAGTTTCTTTCATTCTTTTTTCGTTACATAATACCTGCATGCTTAGAAACCCTTTTCGGGGGCATTTGTCTCTTGCACGACAGCTCTTGTTTAAGAAGTGTTTTATAAGAATATTCAAATGATTTATTTCTTTCTTTTTTATCAACTTTTTTTAAATGCATATAGAAGTTTGCCCAATGCAGACCAATTCCCTGTTATGATTAATCGCCTAAGGTTACGGAACGTCGGTGGTTCTACTCAGGTGCCTGTTCGTGCCTGAAATAATGCACAGAAGGACACTTGAGGTCTTACTCCACCAGTAAAGCTGGAATGTCAGTCATAAGACCTTTAATGTGTTGGTGTGACGTAAAACCCAATAAAACAAACCAACACAACAAAAATCTACTAAGGTGCTACCTATAATGCAGAAAGCTGTTATGATTACATAACAAGCACAAATAGAATTAGTTGCCATCAGGTATCAAGCAATAACAGTAAAAAGTTGTTGAAATGGCTCAAAATATATTAAAGTTATTTAAACTAAATACTGTGTATTCTGAGGATTTCTGGAAATTTAAATGTTTAAATTCTTTGTTAAAAAAAAAAAATTCTGAAGAAGAATAAACGTCTTAAAGACCTAAAGAAAGGCTGTTTTCAATTTCAAATTTTAACTAGATTATATATATCTTGTAAAATATGAGACATTTCGTCTAGTTTATTATTTACACTTTGAGAAGGTTCAGAGTACCAATAATTTTTATCTCATTACTGCAGATTAGCCAATAAATACCTATATAAGGGTTAAGAAAACAGACAACTAAGAGATCTCAAGTGGTGACAAGAACTATGGAACATATAATGCCATTTAAAAGAAATATTCAAACTGAGCAAGATGAAAAGTTGACTATCTGGGCTGTGTGGAACCATTGGATCTCATTGTTCAATTGGTTTATAGTAAAATTTGAACTTTCGTAATATCTTAAGTTATTTGGTTAATGCAAAATTGTAGGGTCAATACTATTAATTGATATTAAATGTTATATTAAGTCATGGCTATTTTCTATTTAAATTTCCTTCCTAAGAAAGTGCACACAGGAGTTTTAAAACATTTAAGCACTGATTTTAGTGTGTGTTACTTATCATTTGAAGAAAGTAGACCTGACTGAAAAATTATTTGTTGTTAATCATCAGTGTAGCAAAATGTAAACAAAGCAGTATTTTGACTTCCATACGAAATCACTCTATCTCTACTAATTGCCAATAAGGAACAGAGGCAAAAGATAATGTTCAGGTCTTTAGCCTATGAGTAGAAAATATAACGGGATACCCAAAATGAAAAGCTTTTGAAAAATAAAAGCATTTCATGGAATAATGGGCCTTTAAATTTTATTCAAGTGAATATTATTTTCCTCCAGAGTTTATGTCACCTAACACCATTGCATAATCGTTTTACCCTTAGTAAATTTGTAAATGAGAGTGACCTTAAGTTTTGAGTTCATATAAGGCTAACTTTAGGGCTAAATATATATAGAGAAATAAAACTAAAACAACATTTTAACAAAATCATAGCATGTCCAAATTGTCCAAGAAATACAATGGCTATTGCAATCTATGTTTGTAATTTTATTCTAGGATATGCTGGATTCCTTCCTATCCATCCAAATTCGAGGTTAGAAGCTTTTAGAAAAACAAGGGAAATGGAAGCTCGAGCAGGTGGTACAAATGTTGATGCCACGGAAGTCGATTCAAATACTGATTTAAAAGAAGCTGAAAAAACGTGATGATTATGTGTTACAAAACATTATTTGTTTGGAATAGTTTGTTTTATTTAGAGTCTGTTACAAGATTTAATTGTAAATCATGTAATATATTTGCGAGTTGATTTATCACAGTTGATAGTTTTCTGACTGCAACAGAGCATGCGATGAATAAGGGATTAAAATGTGGTTCACATTTTACAGTTTTTTGTTCTTATTTTGGCTGCATTGAAATTAAGAATGTTTTTAACTCCTCAGAATGTGTTCAGAGGTGAGCTTTTGTGATCGCAAGATGTCTTGGTCTGTTGTGAGTTGTGCGGCATTTTCCACAACTTCATCTTGATATATTACTTCTCCTTAAATCAATATCCCATCAAAATACAGAATAATTCAAGAGTTTGCTTACAAAACCCTTGGTACTGAGTACTGTAGCTTCTGGTGGAGTCCCAATCTAGTATACAAAAGATAAAGATTGTACAGTCCCCCAACCCAAGCAGTGTCACAAAAATCTTTGCTGGCCAACCTTATACAAGCCTCTACCTCTGGATCAGTTTAGGCCATGGGTAACTAGAACAGTGTGGATAGTACATACATTTGTACACATGCTGTGTGTAAAATACAGTATTTTATTACTGCTATTAATCAGGAATATAAACTGAACTTAAAATATACAAGACTGTACAATGTTGGATTTCAAACAGTAAATGCATTGGAAGTTCAGTACCCAGTAATGTTCTAAGTTATAATCATATCCTGGAGATGGTCTTTTCTTCTTTTTTTTATATGCCTGAAAAAATTTCAACATATACAATGTATTGTTATGCTTTTGATTGTCAGTCTGTCTGTCTGTTAGCAGTTTTTTTGTCCAGTCTGTATCTTTGAACAGGTGGAAGTAAATTGAAAGTACTTGGCAGAAATGTAAACAATTATGAGACAATGTGCAGAGCGCAGGTTTGACACTTCTCCGGTCAAGGTAACACTAAGTTATTTGGTACTTCCTTTTGGGCTTCAAAATTGACCTTGACCCTGGGTTACTTGATTTAATATTCTAGGAAAAACATATTTTAGTTTCAATGTGTGAAACTACAATGTCTAGAGCTTAGATATGTAGCATGTAACATTGCCTTATTGAACTTTACAAAGCTGATGTGAATCATGTCCCTTGGATCAATATTGGGCTCTCCCCAAGGGTCACGTGATTTATATAGACTTATAGGGTAATAGACTTATATTAGGAAAATCACATCTGAGACTTATGTTAAACTACAATGCTCAAAGCATTAAACAGAATTCTGTAACCTAAGCTAGTTTTGCTCACTTGTACAATGTACACAAAGGTGAGCTTTTATGATAGAAGTGAATCTGTCATCTTTGTCCACATTTTATTTAAACAACCCTTTCTCTTAAACCACTTGATTGATTTTGACCAAACTTCACAGAAATGATCCTTAGCTAGGTAGTCATCTACAATGTTATATAAATGGTTCTAGTCTTATGTACAATAAGGTCAGAGAAGTTGAAATAGACTTTAAAAATGAAATCTAAAAAAAACCTCAGAAACTAAAATATCCAGAGTTTTGATATTTTGTAAGAAGCCTTACCTTGTGGTCC